CCCCCCCCCCCCCCGACACATCAGTGTATTCACCCACCAGGAAGCCCCACTGAGCTTTAGTGTCCAAAGTTTTTATTAGGGGTTTCATTACTTAGGCATGATTGATTAAATCACTGTCATGTGACTGAACTCAATCTCCAAGTCCCCTCCCCTCCCTGGAGGTCAAACTGGCTCAAAATCCCAATCCTCTAATCACAAAGTTGGTGTTTCTGGTGACCCCATCCTGAAGCTATGTAGGGGCTTGCCGTTAGCCAGCTTGTCAGCAGAAACTCAGGTGTGACCTAAGGGGCTCACGAATAACAGGCACATCTGTCACTGAGGAAATTCCAAGTATTTTAAAAGCTCTGTGCCAGGAACATGGGACAAAGACGAGACAAATTCTTTATTATACGATAGATAGGCATTGGGTGACCTAAGCTGAGCTGATGAGACACAACCCTATTGCACTTGCTGGAATTACTGGGAAAGCTATGATCTTTTTCTGCTAGGATTATGAAGCTGGTAGAGTGTAAGCTTGGAATTCTAGTGGCCATCTTGCTATCTATGAGGGGAAAACCTGCCTGACGAGGAATACAGTCCAGAGGAAAGCAGAGCTAAGAGACAGAGAGCAAGTTCAGATGGACATCGTTTGAGCCTGTGGCTCCTGCCATGCCTAACATCATTCTACCTCTGATTTTTAAATTCTGTAGACCAATAAACTCCCCCTCTTTTCATGTTTAAACTACCTTAAACGGGGTGTGGGGGGGTGTTCCTATTACTTGTAACTGAAAGAATCCTGAGTATTACATCCCCTGTTCGTAAGGAGGAAGAAGTGTTTTCCCTTTCATATTAATACCTTGGCTTAACCTGGGCCCTGGATCCATCCTTCCCACCTTCCCCAAACTTCACTCCTTCAATTACCATCCTTTCTACTGGCTCCTTTCCCCTAGGACTTCGGACGTAATCAGGTTTCCCTCAGGATTGAAACAAACAAGCAAACCTTTCCACCCTCTAAAATTGCAGCCCTCTGTATCTCTCTCCTTCCCTTTTTGGCCAAATTGTAGGGCAGCTCTAAGCATTCCTCCTCCCACTTGTTCACCTTCCATTCATTCCTCAGTCCACTACCATTGGCTTCTGCTTCCTTTTCACTTCCCTAAAGATAGTCTCAACAAAGTGACCAAGCAATCTAAGTCAGTGTATTCTATAGGAGACAATGGCAGTGCCCAGTACCATGGATCCCTCTTTGTCATTTGTGTGTGAAGTGTTTGCCCAATCTCCCCATACACCACACACACACACACACACACACACACACACACACACACACACACAGAGTATTCCCACCCCCCCTGGTCTTTGATGTGTGGTTTTTCTTCCAAATAATTAGACCTTCCAGATTTTTTTTTTTTTTTTGAGTACTGACCTCAGGCTACTGGAGTCTTTGCTTTGACGAAGTGCCTGAGAATTGACATCTCCCAGGGGAAGCCCTAGTCTACAGCTGAGGGATGTTGGTATATGAAAGGCCCAGCTCCCTTGTTTCTGGATAAATCTGAGGCACAACTTACATCCAGGGCTCCCTTGAGGGAGGAATCAAGCTGAACTACTCTCTTCCTGAGATCACATGTTTGCTTGGTTTCCTCTCCTGCTTCTCCCACTCCTAGTTTCTCCTGGTAGCACTTTTTAAAAAATCACTTGCACAAAAATTCTCATCGCAGAGTATGCTTCTGGAAAATCTTACCCAAGACAACATCTCAGCACTTTCTACTTCTCTTTCTTTGCCTGCCTGTTAAATGTGGCTTTCCCCCCAGAATTAGATTTCAGGCTCTCTTCTCTCTACATATATTACTGGGATGATCTCATTCGTGTCCATGGCTTTAACCACTACTCATGTCTGATCACGACCACACTAACTTGTGCAGCTGAGGCTGTAGATCCATCTCTGCTGGACAGCTCCACCTAGTTGCCTACAGGCACCTCTTACACCAATACAGTAGTCATTAGGCACATGTGGCTATTTTAATTAATTAAAATGAAAACTTTGGTTCCGGGAATTCCCTGGTGGTCCAGTGGCTAGGACTTGACGCTTTCACTGCCATGGCCCAGGTTCAATCCCTGGTCAGGGAGCTAAGATCCTGCAAGCCGTGCAGCATGGCACACACACACACACAAAAGAAAACTTCAGTTCCTTAGTCACACTAGCCACATTTCAAGTGCTTAAAAGCTACATGTGGCTAGTGCCTACCAAACTAGGCAGTACTAATACAGTACATTTCAGTCATTGCAGAAAGTTTTACTGGACAGCTTAGACACATTTCCAAACCTAACCCATCATCACCAGCCCCTTACCTTTCTGTATTCCTCACCTTTTCTCTCTCCTGGACAAGGATGGGCCAACTACAGAGGAAGGGTATGTAAAGGTATCAGGGAGGAGTGGGGGGTGATCACAGAACTAGAGGCCTTTCCATTGACATCTTTTTCTGAACTGGAAGATGGAATTGACAAAGATGGTGATGAAGACCTTAACAAAGGCCATCTGGGAGCTGATGTTAATTTGGTTAGAACTGGGGTAGAGATGGGGACAAAGGCTGGTTAAGCCAGAACTTGCCCTTCCACAATGATTTTTTCCAACTCCATCCAGTAGCCTCAGCCTCAAACAAACATCCTTGTGTGAGTCAGGGCATTTATCCATTTCCAATCTCGTGGATCACAAGGCCTTTGGGTTTCAGGATAAGCACATGATCCAAGCCAATCAGCTAAAGTCAGTTCTGGAAATTTTACTGCAAATCTCAGAAAAAAAGACACGCTCCTACGAGAGTTGCTAAGCTACTGGGACTTAAGTTTGGAGCTATGGAAATCCATTTTGCCACTAAGAGAGGCATGGGGAGAGCTCAGCCTAGAGGTGAACCACAGGTTCCCAATATCTTTTGGCCCTTTTATTCAGCTGTTCCTGAAGAAGCTTGATCCATTCTTTTCAATGGCTTGAGCCGAAAGATTCCCTTATTGCTTAGGCCAGTTGGAGCTGGGTCAATGAGAGACCTGATTGATTAGGATCTCATCGGGCTCATGATTTCGACTGCCCTCTACTACACCTTAATGACTCTCAATTTCTGTATCTGGCCTTGATGTCTCTCCTCAGCTCCAGACTGTATGTCCACCTGCCTCCTGACGTCCCACAGACATGCCCCAAACTGACCTCATTATTCCTGCCCCCCCAACCTTTATTTCCCAGTTCAGAGCTGGAACCTCCTAGAACCTCCAGTACTTTCCCCAGAGAAGCCAAGGTCGTAAGTTCAGCCTCCGCCTCCTCGCAGGGCCTCACCAAGGTCACCCGCATCTTCCCTCCCCCAGCTCTTTGGGGGCGGTGTCCTCGAACCCCTCTGCAGCCCGGCTGGGCGCTCTAGGCTACAGCACGCCCTTCAAAAAGCCTTCTCAACTCGGTTTCCGGTACCGGTGGTTCCTCTAGCCTTCATCAGGGTCTCGGGATTCTATTCCCCTAAGGTGCCTTCTCTATGGTTGACTGCTCCCTACTGTCCCGACTTTCCTCTGGGAGGACGCTCTGGTGGGACCCAACCCCGTCCTATGGCTGCTTCTGCGGTCCCTTTTAGGCGCAACTGGAGAAGTCACTGAGCCCTCCGAGACTCCCACCTCCTCAACTCTAGAAGGGTGGCACGGAATGGGAGGATGGCGGAAGTGAGTGTGAACGTGCCCTTCCTTCTCCTCGTTCTTCTCTATGGTCACTTCCTTCGGTGACGGGAAAAAGGGGGTCCCGGCGCCTGCGCAGAACTGGGCTGGGAGCTAGTCGCAGAGGGGGGGGGTGGGGCAGGGAGCGGGAGCTGCCGCCGCCGCCGGAGCTAACCGCGGGGACCGAGATGCAGGTGGGACCGGAACCGGAACCCCCCTCTTCAAGTCCCTCTTCCCTCTCTGCGACCCGGCCCCGGCGCTTGCGAGGAGCCTTGGTTGGGGGCGGGCGTGGGGGGCTAGAGGCAGGAGGGGCGCCCGGCCCCGGAGAGTGCAGCAGAGCGGGCTGCTTCCCTGGAGGCTGCGGCCCCGGGGAATGGGCGGGTAGAGAAGTCCAGGGAGGAGGGTCGGGTCGGAGTGGGTTGACCACCGGGTCCGGAGGGTCCGAGCCAGGAGCGGAGCCTGCACGCTCCACCACCCGCCCTTCGGGAAATATCACAACTGAGCCGAGAGGCAGGTGCACTGGGAAAAGGTGCCTGAGTCCTGCTTGGCAGAAGAGAAATTGAGTCACCAGCTCAGGAGCCGCCGGGTCAGCGGGCCTGAAGGGGGCTGGGTCTGCCTGTGGTGCAGAGGGTTGGGTCGGCCGGTGTGAGCTGAGGTGGCCTCTGCTTGGAGACTGGTCTCTCTGCTGTGTCTGCACCTCTTGGCTCGGTTCCCCCGTGCTCCATGACTTTCATCTCCTGGCGTCTTCTCGTTGGTTTGGAATTGTCCCTATGGTTGGAGCCATCTGAGTGTGTAGGGTCTAGGTCAAGGAGAAAGGGGAGGGGGCGCTGACCGCGGGTCTGAGCAGGAGTCTGGGGTTTGGGGAGATTTGCCTGAACTGCTTTCACCCCATTCTTGGTGCCAGTCATCTTCCAGTATAATATGGGGGAGGAACACTAACAGAAGAGCCATGGGTTGTAAATTCCATGCCCAGCTCTGCCACTTGCTAGTTGTAAGACGTTGGGAAGGCTCTTCCTTTCGCTGATTTCTCTTTGAGAAAATTGGAACCCATAAAGATAGTAATAACGGCAAGTCATTTATTGTGTGCTTACTTTGTGTCAAGCAGGGACATGTTCTGTTTAATTCTCCCAACAATTTTAGGGGTTAGGGATCATTAGCTCTGTTTTATAGATACGAAAACTGAAGCTCGGAAAGGACATGTAATTTGTTGACGATCACACAGCTAATAGGTGGCAGAGATGGAATTTCATCCTAAGCCTAACTCCAGAACCTGTGGCCTTAACCATCAGGCAAACTAGCCTTTAGGGCACGCTCCCCTGTGAGAGAAGAGGGAGGTGAAAAATCCAAGGCCCCAGCTTCCTGTTATATTTTATTTACTTTGGGGCCAGCAGAGACTTGCCCGGACCCAACCCACAGTCTGTCCTCACCTGGTGCTGCTGCCTCTGGGCCCCCACCTGGAGGGGCACCAAAGAAGTGGGCTCTGGGCATTCCAAGCCTCCTTGACAACAGTGCTTGGGTGCTGGGCCCTGGGGTCGGCTTTCAAGACAGTTGTTTGAATCTGTCATCCATCCATCCTCCTTAATGAGCAGCCTCCCTCCTCAGAGATGGACCTCGGGATGCATGAGGCAGGGTCTCTAAGCTCTGCAGGCCTAGCTCCCCTGAGAGCTGGGGCTGTGAGGGGCGGTGACTGAGGCTGGTGCAGTCAGGACTGTGCGGTGGGAAAAACAGTAGACTTGGAGTTCTGAAACTTTTTCTGAGCTTCGGGTTCCTCATCTATTACAGAGGTTGTTAAAACCTCTCACAGGGAAAGGTAAGAATGGCACATGGGAGGCACGTAATAAATATTGAAGGATGGTTTTAGAGAAGGGAGGTGACGTGGACGAGTCCCTTTTAGAGGAAGGTGCTGCACAGCCGTCCACCACACCTGGAGCTGAAGCCAGGGAGAGGACTGGGGAGGCAGCAGGGTGGGTGCGGGCTAGACCTGGGGGTGGTGGGGCACGAGGATCTGGGGAAGGGAAGGGTGGCAGCGTGGTGTTCAGCCCCGTTGCTCTCTTGTGGAGTCTAGACCAGAGGAGGGAGTCTGGCTCGGGGTGGGGCTCTGGCCCCGGTCCCACCTCAGCAGTGACTCGATGTATGTGCCTTTTCCTTCTGCAGCTGCTGCCGCTCACCCTGTGTCTTCTGGCCGCTTCCCTCTTTGCTGCCCCTCCCCACAGGCTCCCCCTCTCCACCTCCTGGGGGCCATCATGAATGGTGCCCCTTCCCCGGAGGATGGGGCCTCGCCCTCCCCTCCCCCCTTGCCCCCACCCCCTCCCCCGAGTTGGCGGGAGTTCTGCGAGTCCCACGCCCGGGCGGCTGCCCTGGATTTTGCCCGCCGTTTTCGCCTCTACCTGGCCTCCCACCCCCAATACGCAGGGCCTGGGGCCGAGGCTGCCTTCTCCCGCCGTTTTGCTGAGCTCTTCCTGCAGCACTTTGAAGCCGAGGTGGCCCGGGCGTCCGGCTCCCTCTCGCCGCCCATCCTGGCTCCTCTGAGTCCTGGTGTGGAGGTCCCGCCTCAGGACCTGTCCCTTGAGAGCTGCAGGGTGGGCGGGCCCCTGGCTGTGCTGGGCCCTTCTCGATCATCTGAGGACCTGGCCGGCCCCCTCCCTTCCTCAGTCTCTTCCCCTTCTACAACCTCCTCGAAGCCGAAGCTAAAGAAACGCTTCTCCCTCCGCTCAGTGGGTCGCTCGGTCCGCGGTTCGGTCCGAGGCATCCTGCAGTGGCGGGGGACTGGTGACCCTCCCTCCCCAGCGGGGCCCCTAGAGACCTCATCGGGCCCCCCAGTATTAGGTGGAAACAGCAATTCCAACTCCTCTGGCGGGGCTGGGACCATTGGTAGGGGACTGGTTAGCGATGGAACATCCCCTGGGGACAGATGGACTCACCGTTTTGAGAGGCTGAGGCTCAGTCGGGGAGGGGGGACCTTGAAGGATGGAGGAGGCGTGGTGCAGAGGGAAGAGCTGCTGAGTTTCATGGGGGCTGAAGAGGCAGCCCCTGACCCAGCTGGAGTGGGCCGGGGAGGAGGGGCAGCGGGGCCTACCTCAGGGGGAGGAGGGCAACCTCAGTGGCAGAAGTGTCGCTTGCTGCTTCGAAGCGAAGGAGAAGGAGGAGGAGGAAGCGGAGGAAGCCGTCTGGAGTTCTTTGTACCACCCAAGGTGAGAGCCAGAGGAGGAGGGTGGGCGACCGGGAGCGAGGGATTGAGCGCTGGGGACGTGACCCACATGCCTAGCTTTGCTTACTTGGATTTTTAAAGCTTTGCTTACTTGGATTTTTAAAGCTCCTGACTTTGGGTTCCTAGTGTGGGCAGGACAGAGAAAGTAGTGTTACTTGTCTAACTCCCTTGGGGTGTGGGGGGAAAGATGAATCTCGAGGGAAAGGAAAGCTGGTCTCTGCACACCGAAAGTCTGGATCTTGTTCTGTCTCCGACTTAGGCATCTCGGCCTCGACTTAGCATTCCCTGCTCTGCGATCACCGATGTGCGGACAACCACAGCCCTGGAGATGCCTGACCGGGAGAACACGTTTGTGGTTAAGGTAGGAGCCCTGGGCTCCCCTGTCCACTTGGAGCACTTTTAGCACATTGAAGCAAGGGATACTGATGCAAGGAGGGGCACATATGCCAGGTACCTTGATGGTGTGTCCCTGGGGCGGCAGCTTTTCTGGGACGAGGGGTGAGAGGGAGGATGTGCTTGTTCCTGTTGGGGGTGAATTAAGGCCTCGAGACCTGGAAGTGGCCTGTGGGCCTCCTCTTGTCCCCATAGGTGGAGGGCCCCTCGGAGTATATCCTGGAGACAGCTGATGCTCTACACGTGAAGGCCTGGGTGTCTGACATCCAAGAATGCCTGAGCCCAGGGTGAGGAGCCCGTCTTCTGTCACTGAGAGGACCAGGGGGTGAGGGTGGTGAGCAGCCTTTTGCCTCTCCCCTGGTGACTTTCCTCCCAGCACCATTTTCCCTGTCTCTGCAGACCCTGCCCTGCTACCAGTCCCCGCCCCATGACCCTCCCCCTGGCCCCTGGGACCTCATTCCTGACAAGGGAGAACACAGACAGCCTGGAGCTGCCCTGCCTGAATCACTCGGAGAGTCTGCCCAGCCAGGGGCTACTGCTGGGGCCCAGCGAGAGCAGCGACCGCCTTTCTCAGGGTAAGGGTGGAGCCTTAGAGAGCTGTGAACCTCGGGACCCACCACGCAAGAACCCCGGCCATCAGGCCCAGGCCCTCTCTCCAGGCTCTGCTGTGCATCCCATACCTGCTCCTCAGCTGCCACGACCAAATGTCTGACTTTTGTCCCCGAACGTGCCTGACCACAGTTTACAGTTTAGAACCATCACCATCAACAGCCCCACACGAGCCCCAGGCCAGCTCCTCTCCAGCCTTCTATGCCCGGCCTTGTCCCCTTTTCTGTAAGCCTTGTGCCGGCCCCCAGTCTGGCTAGAGGTAATGGTTCTCTTCTCCAGAGCTTCCAGAACGCTTTGTACACATCTTTGTTTTGTTCCTACTCTGCATCTCTGTGCACATGTTAACAGTACTAGATTTTCTTTTGACTCCCTACTTCTAAACACACATGTATGCTACCCACATACATAAACACATAAAGATGTGTCTACCTGGCCCCAGCTCACCTTTCTAGACTCCACTACACCCTTTTTTCCTGATCCTCCATTCCGAGCTTCAGTTTCACTGTGCCTAGCACACAGGCTGTATGCAATGAGTAAACAAATGAATTAAAGACTCTTAAGAGCCGGAACGGACCTTACAGGTCGTCCATTCCAATCTCCTCGTTTCTCAGGCAGCTAAGAGCAGAGAGGAGAAATGGCATTTCTGAGGGCATCTGAGAGTCACTGACAAAGACAGCGGCTATGCCAGCTTGTTGCCTGAACCATGGCACTCTGCACTCCGCATATTCCCATCCTCGGAGCACTGATTATGTATGACGTGCCTGTAGGCTCACGCCTGCCGCTCAGCAGACATTGAGGAGCGCCCCAGTACATCCTCGACCCTCTGTTAGGCTCTGGGGCAGGATGAGGAGCTCAGAGCTGCCCCGTGGGCTCGCAGTCTAGCGGAGTTGGCAAGACATCACTCCCTCTAAAAAGCAGGACTCCCAAATGGAGACCCTGTGCTTAGTGTCCTCTGAGCGGCACCAGCAGGAAGCCTCGGGAGCTCAGAGGAGGAAGAGAATCATGGGAGGTGGGATAGATGGGGAATTCTACACAGGCGAGGTGAGAAAAGAACGTGGCTTGGAGGAGCTAGGGGAGCAGAGACCTGAGATGGGGAGAGGCCCGGAGAGCTGGAAAAATTAGACGGGATAATTGGGTTAAAGCGGCGAACATAAGAATACAAGTTAATGTTAAGGTCAGGTTGGTTAGGTTGGGGGGATTCACAGAAGGAGGATCTTTGATGCCTCTCAGAGTTGGGGGTTTTGTCCTGCAGGCAAAAAAAGGACCCCTTTGTAACGTGAAAATATTTGAGGGATTCTACCCACCCCCATCCCCACCTCTGCGACTATAGCTGTAATTTCAGCTGTTGATTCAGAAGAGATGTGGGCACATTAGGATTCCAGGACCTTGTTGGAATAACTGCAGTCCTTCAGCAATGCGTGAAGCATAAGTTAGGAGTCATTGATAACAATCAGGGCTCAGTGCCTGAAGAAAGATTCAGCATTTCAGCCATCTGACCACCAGTGTACCCAGGGTAACCTGGCTGGTGGGGAAGTGGCCCAAGCAGACCAATCCTCCCAAACAGGAGCTTCTCGAGCTCTCAATTTTGCCCTCCTCCTTTTTTTTTTTTTTCCAGGGGCATATGGGGGCCTCTCAGACCGCCCCTCAGCGTCCATCTCCCCCAGTTCCGCCTCCATTGCTGCCTCCCATTTTGACTCAATGGAGCTGCTTCCGCCAGAGTTGCCCCCCCGTGTCCCCATTGAAGAGGGACCCCCAGCAGGGACAGTTCATCCCCACTCGGCCCCCTACCCACCCCTGGACACTCCGGAAACAGCCACAGGTACCAGAGGTGTGAGTGTGTGTCTGCCTCCAAGCCTGGTTGACCACCTGCCTGAAACTCTTGTCTTGGGATCCTGAGGGATCTGACCTGGGGGGTTGGTGGGGGAACAGACGGGGAGTGACATATGAGGGGAAAGGAAGGCTTTTCATCTGCCAGGATGAGGGAGGCTTCCCTGACACCTCAGTTTCCTTCCCTCTCTCTTTCCTGAAGGGTCGTTACTGTTCCAGGGAGAGCCAGAGGGAGGTGAGGGGGATCAGCCCCTCTCAGGGTATCCTTGGTTCCACGGGATGCTCTCTCGACTCAAGGCCGCCCAGTTAGTGCTGGCTGGAGGTACCGGCTCCCATGGCGTTTTCCTGGTACGTCAGAGTGAAACGAGACGGGGTGAATATGTCCTCACTTTCAACTTCCAGGGCAAGGCCAAGGTGAGTGAGGAGAAGGCTCCACTGTAGGCAGTGGGCCTGCGGGTAGAGTGGGGAACGCTGCCATCAGGGGAGAAGGGTTCTGTGACTGGCAGGGTTCGGGCTCCTGCTTTACCCCACTCATCCTGCCCTCAGCACCTGCGTCTCTCGCTGAATGAGGAAGGTCAGTGCCGGGTTCAGCACCTGTGGTTCCAGTCCATTTTTGATATGCTCGAGCATTTCCGGATGCACCCCATCCCTCTGGAGTCCGGAGGCTCCAGTGATGTTGTCCTTGTCAGCTATGTCGTGTCCTCCCAGCGACAGCAGGGTGAGCAGAGCAGGTCTGCAGGGGAGGAGGTGCCCGTGCACCCAAGAAGTGAGGAGGTGTGTGTGCCAGAAAGACGGGGCGGGGGGCTTGAGGAGGAGAGGCTTTGTCAGGGAGAGAGGGGTAGAGAAGTTTCCTGTGTGCTGGGTTTCTTGGGGAAAGGAGTACACAGGGATGTAGGAAGGCAGGGGGCTCCGTGCTGGAGCCGGGAAGAAGTGGAGAGCTGGGCTGGCGCATTCCCATTCCATCGGACCGTCTGTTCCATCGTTTGTCTCCTAGACCATCCTCCCTGGCCTTGTCTTTGCCCTTCGTCACAGCCTTGCCTTGGGCCTGCCCTTCTTGGGGGTGCTCGGTCTGATCCCCCTCCCTCCTCCCTTGATGTCTGATGTCCCTGTCTGATCTCTCCCTTTTCCCCACCCCAACGTCCCATCTGTCCCCACGTTGCCCCTCCCCCCCCCCCAGGCC